CTCCCCCCCCCCCCGCCAGCAATCCAGCAGGAGCAGCAGCGCCGGCTAAGGACACTGAACCCCCAGGGCCGGAGCCCGCCCTTACTCGGTGGCGTCGATGCCCACGGAGGAGGAGTTGGAGGACTTGATGGAGGGCGAGGCGGTCTCTGCGGAGCCGTGCTGCAGCTTGGGGGAGGACGGGGCGGAGGAGTCGGGGGTGGCGATTTCCTCGATGTCCGAGTAGGAGGAGGCCGACTTGGGGCCCTTCTTGATGCTGAAGGCCTTGTTGAACGAGCTCCGGAGCTGCAGGAGAGAAGCATGGGGCCCGGAAGGGTTAAACCTCGCATCACCCCAGCTCGGACACCAGACGCTGCCCCCATCCCGACCCCGGCTCCGGCCAGCGGCACTCTCGGCTCCGGGACCGATGCCACAGCCACCGGGCAGGGAGAGCTCGGTCTTGGGTTCTCCCCCAGCCCTTCCGCTGGATGTCCCTGGACCTGCCAGCGCATACGGCGACTGCTCCACCCGCCCTCCCCGGAAGCGCACTGTGGGGCTGGCCCTAGGGCAGGCCGACCAGGCGGTATGGGGCAGCCCTTTGCGCCTGGGTAGAACGCAGGAGTCACTCCACCTTGCCCAGCACCCGACCCCAGGCCCGCGGTTAGCAGCGTTCGGTCCTGCCGCCGCGGCCTCCTCTGGCTACTCCTCCCCACCAGGGGCGAGGGGACTCTACCCCTCAGGGCCAGCTGCACATACTGGGGTCCCTGGACCCAAGTGCCACGGCAGGATGCCCCCCATGCTCCGGCATCCGCTGCTGCTGCTCAGACCCCCACCTCCCTTGCTGCTTCAGACCTCAGCTGCAGCAAAATCAACAGGAGGGAGGAGCCTGAAGAGCTGTGCGGATCGGGGCCCGGGTACCGCACATGGTGCCGTAACCCCAGATGGAGGAACCCTGCCGGCGAGTGGCTTTCGGGAGACACCCACCCAGCCCCACACGGAGCCCATGGCACCGCCCCTGAACCCAGCTGGGAGAGGGGGCGATGGATGCAAAGCAAGCTCAGCCCTGCACCTTCCAGACCCTGCTACCAAGAAGGAGAAAAGCCGGGAAGCCACCCCCTCTCCACGGGCAGGTCCCTCCGCGCACTGCGACCCGGGGGCACAACCAAGCAAGGAGCAGCAGAGGCAAGCGCGGCGCTTGCCAGGCGGGGGGCTGCCCGGTGCTGGAGGCGCGTCTGCGTTGCGCTCCAGGGGCAGCGGGGCCAGGTCCCACGGGCAGGCCCTGGCAGCGGGGGCGGATACGTTCCCTGCGGGCCAGCTCCTCCGTACCAGGAAGCGTCCCGGGACACGCCCAGCCCTACTGGGACCCTGCGGGTTTAGGGGTGTCCCACCACGGGAGACCTTGGCCCAGCCCTCCTTTGGGCACTCGGATATGAAGGAGCCGTGAGATCCAAACCCACTTCTGGGGCCCCCTCCCTGCGGTGGGAGGGCAGCGTGGGCTAGTGGGGAGAGCGCTTTGCTTGCGGGGGGGAGGGAGCGCGGTCTCCACCCTTCCGCCCTACATGAGGCCCAGCGGGCTGGTGACTGCGCAGGCTGCCTGCCCTGGGACAGCTGCCAACAGCCGGGGTGCAGACGGGAGATCAGCCTTGGGCCCCTGATGCAAGATGTCCCAGCCCAGTGTTCTTTGGGAAACTCATTGCCAGCCAATCACCGTCCCCGAGCTACGCCTGCGGAAGAGGATTGGCTGCCGAGGGCTGGAGCCGGCCCTCCCCCAAGGCGCAGGGGCAGGGGACAGCCTGGCCGGGACACGGCACGGTGGTGGGCGTGGGCCGTCCCACTCCCCTAGAGCCCAGCGTGGCTGTGCCGTGCCGGGCAGCGGGCGTAAGGGCCAGAGAGCACAGCCCTGGTCCCTGCAGGCGAGTCTGTTCGGCCAGGCCAGGCGGGTGACGAGCACACGTCCTCTGCTCTGATGCCCAGCGCCCCCTCCTGCAAGGCTCACACCCGTCCCGCTGGACTCAAGGGAGCTGCTCCTGCGGGGGACCCAACCCAAGTGCCTGGAACCCCGCCCCAGACGGCGAGGGCTGAGAGGGCTCGCGGCCCGGGCCCAGCGCTGCAAGCGAGTCTGTTCGGCCAGGCCAGGCGGGTGACGAGCACACGTCCTCTGCTCTGATGCCCAGCGCCCCCTCCTGCAAGGCTCACACCCGTCCCGCTGGACTCAAGGGAGCTGCTCCTGCGGGGGACCCAACCCAAGTGCCTGGAACCCCGCCCCAGACGGCGAGGGCTGAGAGGGCTCGCGGCCCGGGCCCAGCGCTGCAAGAGCCTCCCTAGCAAGGAGAGCAGGGTGCTAAGCCGGGACAGGCCCGATGGGCATGCGGGAAGGAGCATGCAGCATGCACACAGCGGGGCGTACGACACAGACACCGACCGACCGGGGCGCGGGTGGGGAGGTGACTGAAATGGGGGTGCCGGCTGCCTCCCTCGCGGTGCCACCCCAACCCCAGACCTCATCCGCACAGGGCGCGGCTTTCACAAGGACTGCAGAGCGCCAGCCCGCCCCCCTCCGGGCATGCTTTGGGCCCTGGCTCTGCAGCGCGCCTGACAGACGTGTGTGGGCCAGGCCTTTCCTGGGAAGTTCAGGACTTGTCTGCTCCCCTCAGAGCCAATGCAAAGCTGGGCACTTGCACAGCCGGGTTGGGCCAGCAGCCAGGGCTGGCGGGCGAGGCAGGGCGGACAACCTGGCTGGGTGGGAGGCTGCCTGCCGAAAATGGGGCATTTTGGAGGGGGGGGAGGAGGGGAGGAAATCGAAATATTTCAGTCCCAGACTTCTGACTCTGAAATGCTGCCTCATGCGCCTCTGCCCTTCGTGGCCTGGGAGCCCCAGCTGCACTACAAGCCCCATGATGCATGGTCTCTGGCTACACAGCTGATCCACGGGTGCTCCCCACATCTGCCCTCTGGTGGCCCCGCTGACCTACTCCGCCCCCACCCGCCCAGGGCTCCTGGAGCACAGTGAACTGTTCTGAAGCTCCAGGAGGGCAGGGGAGGCGATGGGGCAGGAAGAGGAGGGGCGAAGGGTGTCAGATGTCCGGGGATTTAAAGGCGCAGGTGACTTTTTTTTTTTTTTTGCTCACCCAATTTCCCCCCCCCCCCCGACACGTTTTGTATATTTTTTTAAAGTATCTGGCAACCCTAGGCGGGGCAGGAACCAGGGCTTGAGGGGAAATGGAGGCAGTGAAGGGGCGTAGCTGGGGTGGGAGGAAGTGAAGTGGGGCTTAGGGCGGAGGTGGGGGTGTCCAGCGTCCCCCAGCTGACGGGGACGTAGATGCCTATATCTCGCTTTGCATTGTGGCAACTGCGTGGCCGCAGTGCATCATGGGAGATGTAGTTCGACTGGCGGGTTGGGGGCTCCCTTAAATACAGCACAGTCTCTGCGGGCTCTTTCCCAGGATTGGGGGGCTGGGCTGTGCAACATGTACCTGGCTCCCACTGCGCGTTGCAGCTCCCGCCAAGGACGGCCTTTGCCCTCCCTGGAGCCAGTCAGCCCACGGAGAGATGGGGGACTCTACCCTGACTTAGGGCCTGAACTTGCGGCCTGCACAAATCTGTGACTATGGGGTACAGGACACTGAGCAGGCTGCAATGCAAGCCTGGCACCAGAGCGGATCGTGACCTGCCTGCAGCCCCAGAGGGTTGGGCCCCACCCACAGGGTCTCCCGCAGCCCCAGAGGGTCGGGCCCCACCCACAGGGTCTCCTCTCACAGGGTCTCCTCGCTCCCCCCCAGGCTCCTTTGGAGTGGAGCACACGAAGGGCTCAGAGAACCGCGTCCTCCCGTCCTGTTGCCTGCCAGCTCAGTGAGCGCGCGGGGAACACGCCCAGGACTCGGGGTTGGTGCTACCTGTACGAGGTCCGCAGAGGCCTGGAAGGGCAGGTGGTTTCGGGGACGGGAGGGAGCGTTTCTGGGGTGTTCCTGGCCTGGCCAGCGGCAGCAGAAGGCCTCCCACAGGGGCCGACCCGGGTTCAGGACGCTTGGGCTCCCTCGGGACTCGCGTCTCACCCCGAGGAGGCCGGCCCGCAGCGTGACTAGCCAGCGGGGGTGCCTGCTTTGCAGGGCTCCCGGTTCGGACTCGGCAGGCTGACTTCCTGCATTTCCCCGGCTAGAGAGCCTGGCCCAGACACTGCTGCCCTCAGCCCCACGGCTCATGGCCGAGACGTTCTGCCTCTCTGAGGAGCAGGCCCAAAGGCAAAGGCAAATTCAGGTACCAAGTTTCCAGGGCCTCCTGGGACAATGCAGGCCCACGAGCCCACCTCCCCTTGGCCAGAGCCTGCTGGGGGCTGAGGAGCGAGCCTGAGCCAGCCTGCGCGGCGCAGGACCGTGGTCCCAGGTGGATGGATGGAATGCTTGGGTTCATGAGCATCGCCCTGGGCGGGGGGCAGAACACGGGGGACGAGGGGGCGGAGGGAAAGGAAAGAGACTTACCTCATACACCTAGAAAAAAAGGGTTGGGGTCAGCGTGGGGGGGAGAAAGAACAAAACAAAGCAAGAGACTTAATCACACGCTCAGCCCAGAGCTCTGCCTGCACCCCGCTGCTGGAGCCAGACCACGGCTGGGCCCCCCCCCACC